TCTGCGAAAAATTAGCGATTATTATTCAGATTTTTCTCAAACGTTCAGTCTGATTTGCTAGTACCGTGTGTAGCAGGGATTGTATTGAAGGCGCATATAACACTCGTTATTGGACTCTATTTAATTGAGGTTTTTTGAGACCGTTATGCTGATATGCGTCAAATCACAGATGATTTTCTTCCAATCAATCATCAGCACATAATTACGTCCGGATTTACTGACTAAAAGCATGAATTTATGAAAAACAAAATTAATACCTCTATTGATTTAGAATTTGGGCTGTCAAGGATTTGTAGCCATTTTCTACATTTTCAACACTTGTAGAAATCTAAGTCGGTATGACTTTGCTTGACGCAAAGGTCTTGCGCACTCGTGGGAGCTTAAACTCGTCGCCACCCCAGATGCCTCTGATAGAGGCTCTACTTAGTCGAAAAATTTTCTTGGCACGAGTGATGGTGCCGTAGCAGAGACGACCTTATTTACTTAGCGTAGTAAGGAAGATCGCCACCGCTACGCGAGTTTCAGGCTTGATATCGTGAGCTCCGGTGGTGCGAGGCATGTTGGCGAGTTCGATTTTTTTATGCTGCTTTACTTCCGTGAACAAGAATTAGCTCCAAGCGCCAGTTATTTACTTAAGCCCTACCCCTTATAATTTTGCCCAATAGAATGCATTTAACACTTTGGTGTAGAACACAAAAAACCAAAATGTCAATAAATTGGTGGGACAGAGAAGTAGGCACAACTTGCAGTGGACGTTCCACTCTGGTGCGCGTCACAGACAGGGAACCCGAAAAATATATTTCTTGAAAATATATTTATATTTTTCCTGTAAATTATTTATTTAGGGTACATCTGAATAACCGATACGTATCTAGCGTAATTTTAAGTTGCCGCACACTATTTATTTTCTAGGACCACGACAACCAACAGATTTGCTGGTTGGTGTTGAGCCTCTCAGCAAGTTGATAGCTCGATTCATCGCTCATTCTGCAATTCGCATACAACCTTTCCAAGCTACCTCATCAACCACGATGTCTGACGCTCTCGTCACTACCCTACGCTCGCCAACCAAGTTCTCGCCAAAGCAAATCACGGCATTCTATTTCAAGCCCTTCCTCACGGAGGAAGGGGATCCTACTGGCCTGCAGATCTGCAAAGCTTGCGGCAAGATGAGGAAGCATGCGCCTAAAACTGGGTACACCAACCTGGTGTCCCACGTCCGGTCCGAGCACAGCCGCTTCGAGGCCGAGATGGAAGCCGCCAGCACGGCAGCGACCGGGACTCTGCTTCCGTGGGTGCGCCAAAAGGTGTCCAATCGTCATGCGTGGCTTCTGTGGCTCGTCTGCGGAAACCTACCGTTCTCCTTCGTCGAGATGGAGACGACAAGAAGGTGACAATGTCTACTCTTCATAATTTCTTAATTTTTTTTACTAAGCTCTATTTTGTGTTAGGTACACCAACTTTCCGCCTGTGTGCGAGGAGACCATCACTCGCGACATGGAGAATGTCACTAAAGCGGTTGAGCGACGTATTGGTGACGAACTCCCCGAAAATTTTGGGATTGTCCTCGACGGGTGGACGCATGGCAGCGAGCACTACCTCGCAGTGTTTGCGTGCTACGAGCTCAATGGTGTCCGCCAAGCTCCATTGCTATCCATGGCTCCGATCATCAACGGCCCGGATGACAGCCTCAACGCGGAAAGCCATATGGCTGCACTCTCGGCGTTTTTACCTTTTTTCGGTAAAACCCTCTCTAACGTGATTTTTCTCGTAGGCGATAACTGTGAGGTAAACAAGCGCCTCGCCCGTCTATTGGTCTTACCGTTGGTCGGGTGTGCGAGCCATCGGCTTAATTTGGCCGTGCAAAGTTTTATCGCTCCCTACGAGGAAGAATTGGAGCAAGTACAGTCCTTAATGAAGCGGCTGCGCACAATCAACCAAGCGGCAAAACTTCGGTACGCAACTTTTTTTTTCGATTAAATTTGGTATTGCAAATATTTCCTAATTCTGCTATCGTTACATTTGATTTGTGATTTTATTTTTTAGATTGAAGACCCGCATTCGTCCTAAATTGCGCCAAGTCACTCGCTGGGGATCAACGTACACTATGTTGTCGCGTTACTTTGAACTTCGCGGGTTCATCAGTGCCGACGATGAAGAGCTGGCAGAGGAGATGCCGTCCCTGGCTGTAAAACGCAAGCTCAAGCGTTGCTCGAGCAACTAGGTGACGTGCAATCCGTGTCGATGAAGCTGCAGTCTGACGATCTGAGCCTGCTGGACGCACGCGACCTACTAAACGGTCTGTTGGAGGTCATGCCGTCGTTCGTTAACTACCTGGGTACGCTTACATTTTTGCTGAGATGTGTTGTCACTTATGATTAAAAATTTTAATTATGTTTGTAGACCCAAAAGCTGAAATTGTGCACTCACCCGACTTTGAGTCGGGTGTCGTTAAGGTGCTACGTGGTCAAGTCAACAGGCTGAACAGGGCTGAAAAGTCCTCTCTCCTACCTTTTGTTCGCCGAGCTCCCCCACCAGCTCGCGTAGAGGACACGGCCAAGGTCGGCTTTGCGGAGCGAATCCTCAAGCGCCGCAATCCGCATGGCTTCCAGGGTGGGGCTCACGAGACCAAACATGTTTTCATCTAGAGTGCCAGGCAGCGGGCCGACCATGAGCGATTTGGGCAGCTTACATGACGGATTCGAGTTCTTTCGCTCAATGAAAGTTGTTGTGGGGCCTGAATTCGTGAACTTTTTCCAGCGCGAAAGGTCCACACGCCTCTCATTCTGTAAGTGCGCCTCGTACGCCTCAAACTTTGCGAGATCAAGCTTGTTAGCGACATCCCCAAGCTCCGTGCGGTCTTCAGCGGTTAGCGTCAAGTCTCCAAACGGGTTAACGGTAAAGCGTTCATTGCTCATTTCGGCGCGATACTTTGTGCTGGCTACTGCCTTTCAGCGTGACGACACCTCAGCCTTTGCAGTAGACCCCAACGCGCCAGGAATCGAACGTTTGGTCGCCCCGTTGCGACAACAGGACGTAGGCGGGGCCGTTTTTGATCTTGTGGGGAGGAAAATGATGTCGCTCGGACCGACAACCGCCAGAACTGAGCTCTTGAGCAGAAAGCATCCTCCGCCAGGTCTCTGGATGCCTTGAAGCCGCTTGGACAGTGGCCACGGTTTTGTCAATAATCGTTGAATAACCAGGAGCTAATGCAGCATAATTTCTACTTTCAGCTTCTGGTATTTATCGGAGTTGAACTCACGTGGGCTTTCGCTTCTTTGACTGAGCACCCCTAGAGCTTGAGTTGGATACACGTCTCGTGCGCTTCGCTGTCGATTTAGCATTCTTTTTAAGGGGTTGTTACTCTGTTTCAGAGGCGCTGGAGTGCCCGTTGTTATTATTTCTTCTCGAGTGATGTCCCTTCTTGTGGCGATGATGCCTGCTCTTGATCGTTCTCTTCCAGCGACACCGACGGTTCTGAAGATGCCATGAGCTCAAAGTCCTTTTGTTCAAGCGGTCGCACTTGCGGTCCGGTTACCGGCAAAGACTACGATGAGTAGGTGAGTCTCCCTTAATGTACTCAGACTTATTGCGAATACGTAATTTATTTGGCTGTCCCCGTTTTTCTCGATCAATGGTGGTTCGATAGCATTGGCGTCGTTCTGGGGCAGATCCACCGGAACTGTCACAGGCTCGTAAACTGGCTTAGATATAATATGTTGACGTTATTCAACTACATGTTGTTGGTTGTATGTGGTGAGGCGTTGTCTAGCACCAATGCGATGTGGCGGCGACATGCACGCATATCTTCGTCCCTCTTGAGTGACCACTCTAGAAATAGCACGCCTGTCATCCAAACCTTCTCATTGTAGCGGTAGTAAAATCCCAATTCATCACCGGTCTTTTTCTTGCAAACCCGTGGTTTGCATGCGACTCCATTAATGAATGGTTCACGTTTATCAGATCCGTCCGCATTGTATGTCAACGCCACTGTAAATCGAGCATTTTTTTCTTTTGGGGCCCCACTTTCTGTCGCGGAGCAATCGTCTTATCAGGGCACATAAAAAAGAGTCTCGTTTCGTACATGTTGTAGATCTGACTTTGTATATCCTGCGAGCAAACAGAGGCACTCTCGTTGTGGAGCTTGAACTCTTGAAGTTATGATGAGCTTTGAACGAGTCAAGTCAGCCGCTCAGAAGGCTAGTATTTCGTGTGGGGCTACGCCGCTCTTGGTGTCCAATCGCTGCGCCTTCATTCGAATTAGATCGCCGCTCCGGCGAGCTTGGCACAAATGTACCCAATTTGCTAGAGCCTTGTTCACAGTAGGAAACGTGACCGGCCTTAGCCGGTCAGTGTGCGCTTGCTTGTCGGTTACGTTAACCCCATGGTTTTCTCGGGCTCGCGCTATAAAATCATGTGGCCTTAGATCGGTATGATAGCAAGCTGTATCCTCATCGACTCTTTGCAGCCAGATACCATTTATTTCGGGCAAACTTGTTACTGAACACGAGTGCTCCGCGTGAAGGGGTGAGACTTGCACAAGACCACTACGTCGACACGCGCATGTACGAAGAACTGACAGGCAGCATGCTTGCACACAACACTAACTTTCTGCTTATTGTTCTGCTCGCAGCGTGAAGTTCAGCAATCACAAACGAAGATGTCCGCGACCGCTATCTTGAAGGCATATTTGTTCTCAAAGAGCTGGTTGTGTTCCATCGCTTGATAAGAAAGTGTTGGTTGCAATTTGCTCAGTTGTTTTAGGTATAAAAATAGTTTCAATCATCACACTTTGGTTACAAGGTAACTAACAGTAACAGCATAAAAGGGAGACACACTCTTCTGATGGGAGTGTAGACAGTACTCTATTAGACGCTTTGGACGCATTTTGGAATTATTTTGATAAAATGGACGTTACTTGGAATTTCCCCTTTTAAATAAAACACGGTTGTCGTATATATTGATGCTATAAATGAACAGTTCAATCTACTTAGGGTGACTACTCAATATAGGTAGGACTAGCCAAATCGAGGGTCGTAGTCGATTTACAAATTGATAACGAAATTTTGTAGAAAAACTCCTTTTGCGGATATGAACAGAAATCGTGGACAGATATAATAATTTCAGGGCTGCCTTTTTCAATCCCGTTTTGCACCTGATTTTATGCGTCAACCATGCCCAATCAAGGCAATTAAATGAGCGATATTCCATGTGTAAAACACAGTAATTATAACAACAATAATAATAATATTTATAATTAAAATAAAGATTTCCGATATATCTGGCTTAATGCGGTTTTACTGCTATGAGTCTGTGGAACCCCATCCGTAACATTTACCAATGTAACACTTGATCTTTGTAGTGCCTTGGGGCCGATTCGACTTTTTTTCATGCCTTTGAGCACCGATAGCAGGCGCTTGTTGCGCGACGGCGCTGGGAGGATTCCTCGTGCGCATCACCGGTCGGGCGAAGTGCTCCAAGAGCTGAAAATTGCGATGTAGCACACAGAAAGCTGAGCTCCTGCGCGTGCCTTGTCGAATTACACGATGGAGAGGTGTCTTTGACCTACATTTAGCCATATCAGCGTTATAAACTGCGATGTTACACAAGATTTAGCAAAACAAAAATCACCACCACAAAACAGCACTTATCGGAGCTTAGCAGCCTGCATCAGGTTCATCGTCACACCATTACGGTTTGATTACTTGCCAGATTTTCTTCATGCTGTTTCATATCGACCTGAACTGCCCTATTTAGTCGATGACTGGCACATCCGATGAGGGCGACGCTCACGAGCTAGCACCCGATTAACGGCGCAGTTGCCTCCTACAAGAAGCAAACAATGAACCAGCTGCTTACGAAAGTCGCGGAGTAACATACCAGCTAGGATCTCATAGTGTCCGCGCGCCGATAGCTCCTCGTATGGCTCGCCCAGCAGGGGTACTATGCAGAGAAGTGAGGGTCTTCATGACGCTGTCGACTTTGTATCAAGCGAAGGCAGCGACGAAATGCTCCGACAGGTGGCCCAAGCCGGTCAAGGTAAGATCAAATTTTTAAAATATCAGTAGCGATGTGACACTCCACGATCCGAGGGAGACTTTCCATGGCTCGCTGAAGTGACTCGACACAAATCGGGTCCGAAATTTGAGTATCTGGGTAGCGCAAAACGCTGTCCATCTAAATATAACCACATACCGTTGTAGCAGAATCCTAGCAGAAGTGGATGGGAGGCCATTCGTGACAATTCAGTCGAGCCAGCCTAATACGTTGAGTGCTGATCGACGGACGTAGTTTAACAGCGAGCCAGTTTTGGCTGTAGATGCAGTAGTATCATAGCTTCGTAGTCCGCATGCTCCAAACGCACCCGCTGCATTAGGCTCGAGTAGCCTTCCAGCGGGTCTGTCTCTGAACCGTGCCGCAGCGACAGTGGAATTACCCCGAGACGTAGTTGACGTTACGGCACGGTCGGAAGTAGAACCCAGTAACCTGGGCTGGTGGGAAGGTGATGGGGCGTTTACGTAAACATCAAAGAATTATCGGCCCAACTTGTATTGAATCATACAGTCTTTTAGTTTGTACGAGCTTGTATGGAATCAAAATGTGTAATGGTGTTCTTTGCAAAGAGGCGGTCTGCGTGGTGCCCTCGCTCCCACCGCCACTTGAGCTTGTCCGTCGCTCACCACTGCCTGGACTCACGTGCTACCGCTGGAACCGGCGGTGATGCAGAACGCCACGCTGGTGCCAGGTGCTGCACTACCGTCGCTGGGGCCGCTTTCCGCGTTGCATCCGGTACTTTCGGATGGTGAGCGTCCATTGCCACCGTAGATCGTGTCGTCTGCGGCTGTTGCGAAATTGCTGGCACTACTCGTGCCATCTCTGTTGCTCCAACCCGCGCTCCTAATCGCACTATCGTCGTTATCATTTGCTAGGTAGAGGCGAACAGGGTCGCAGTGCTGGCCACTGATGACTTGCCACCGTCGCTTCGTGCAACTGGGTCATTGGCTGGAACCCCCTGCCTGATGGCGAGACTGCTGCTGGAGCTGGTGGTGTTTCCTACTCACCGTCGCTGTTCGTCTTCGTGTTCGCTGGACCTTGGCCACTGACCATCGACGTCATCTCCACCTGTCGTGCTGGCGCCGCAGGCAGCTGGACCGTCGAGGCCACTTGCTGCTGTGATGGAGTATCCGTCGTCGGGTCCGAGGAGACCACCACCGTCGCCGCTCGTGTCGCTGGCTCGTCGCCAATGAAGCCGTTATCGTCTGTGTTGAATCCGTTGTTGATGGGGACATGGACCATGTCGCCATGCTACCTCACGTCGCCGAAGTCATCACCTACTTGTTCCTAGCCATATCACAACTCCATGTAGTTTTCGTAACTTGCGTAACCTTGAGCATGTCGATCTCCTCGTACTCAATCACACCACTAAACGTCAATCTCTAGACCAGTGCTCCTGTATGACCACCGTGCAATAACTGTTCAATACCCACATTTGGGGCTTATCGCCCAGGACCGATTACGTCCAAGACTCGCTGCTAAACTGCTGACAACTTATCGCCCGCGCCCGTAGTGTGTGTATAAGACTTTTGCTATTTTTCGTTCTGTTTTCATCTTTCGTTGTCTGGGTTCGTCCGACCTTTTACCGCTCACGTCCTCCTGCACGTCACCAGTCGCCCGACTCCACCTCAAGCTTGCGGCCAGCGCTGCAACTTAGCCACTCGGTCCGATATGCCTCATGCGCCTACCCGGCGCGCAGCCTTCATCAACTCGGATAACCAATGTTTTGCTGTGCCATGCCTCGTTTCGTCGTACCACTCTCGTCGTACCCACTCCACTGTCCGTGCTTGCTGTCCGCCCGTCGTTCGTCGTCTCCGCCCCAAGTTGGGGGGGGGGGGTTATTGCTTGTTAGAGCTCGATCCAAAGTAGCTTGCATCTCTCGCCGCAGGGTCTCAAGTGAGAGCCGTCGGGCTCCACGCAGTTCGCCGGATCCTGGCCTCCGCCTGATTCCAACTGATCCACGGCGAGCGCCAGCGACTCCTTAGCTTGGCGCCGTACTACTTTCGTCCGTTCTGTAGGCCGCCAATAACCGCTGTGAACGTCCATCACCAAGGTCCTACCATACGCTCACCGCAGCGGAATTTCCAGAAAACAGTACTTTGTACTGTTTTCTTGCGAATCCAAACAGTGAACTCATAGTACTGGAAACAGTATGTATTAAGTTCGCGTACGAACTTAAATATCTTCCTACATTCTTACAACAGTTCTGGAGCTTCGTCGGGTAGCAGGGGGCGCTCGACGGCGTCGTCCGCGGGTAGCTTGGTATAGCCACACGAAGTTGATTGTTTCTCGCTCAAAATCCATTTTTAGTTGCCAAGGTAAGTTTCTAGCTGGTTCCCACGTTAGCTCTCTATGGTTTACCCACTGCACTAAGTAGAATTCAAGAGTGTGGACCCATCGTTTTGCATAAAGGCGCTCAACCTCAAATGTCTCCCCACCTCGCCCTCATTGTGCTTGCCTTCCTCGAAATAAACCGTAGCCACTCTGCGGTCGAAATGCCGGGTTCTCTTCAGGGGGAGGCCGATTAGTTAGATTTTGGTTGACTCTCAATCTGTAAAAGGAGCCGTCGAGATTGCGTTGGAAGTTGCGTGTGTGTTTTCCTCTCTTGTTCAAAGGCGCCATAACAGAAATTGTAGAATGGCATGCATCTAGTGCTATCATAGTTGAGGACGTGTAATGCATAAGAAGCGATGCCGTTTGCAAAAAACAAATGTATTGTAGACGTCACCAATTCACAAAACAAATTCACAAAACACAAATACACCTAAAGAATTCAATATTTTAATGTCCAAGTCTGGGACGCTGCAGTCGAGATCTTATAACTCGCAAACAAAAAACACTGTTTCATACAATTTTTAGTATAGACACCCCAAGGGAACAACTGAAAATGTTATCGGATCACAATTTCGAAATTTCAATAATGGACGATCTGAAGTGCTTCCAAAACATGACTTGTGAAGCAAAGTTTTAAAGATAATATTCAGCTAAAATTTGATTTGCAATTACAAAATGCAAAAAATACAAATACTTTTATAGGAAAGAAAGTGTATTTTTAATATAAAGAAACAGAGTCGGGAATCACTATAGCTATCCTCATAGAGCATTACGAGCTTGTTTTCGTTTGTGGGAAGGCTTGGGTCCTGGCTTCAGCCCAAGTTTACCAATACGGTCTGGGTCACTCTGAAAATGAGGAACAATCATGGATGAGTCGGATTCGAGTGTGACATCTGTAGGCCAAGGCATGAACGCGAAAGTGTATGTGTCTTGAAAATGCCCAATTGAAGTTCTAATCTTGTCGTATAGCTCTTCAAATCTGCTACCATTGTGAATGGCAGCGCAAATTGCATGAATGCACGGAAAATTTTCATCCTTCCAATTGCCACACGTACACTCAGTGGCCGGAAGATCAACTTCGCGCCAGGGGTGGATATATCCATGCTTGCTCTGGGGACCAAGGTGCTGAACCGAAAAAGCGCCATCTAGGAGAGAAGTTATTGCGCACATTGAAGCAGCCTTGGCTCGATCTTCCAGCTCCCTTTGCAATAGAGGAACCAAACGATGTCCACCGCTGTTACTAATCCATTTCGACGCCAATTGTCGTTTTTCAGACGTGAGTTCACTAAGGCGCTTGAAGTACATGTGAAATGCGTCAAGAGGTTTGGAACTCCTCATTTCATTACCCATCCAATTGTTAGCTTGTTCGGACAAATTTGAGGTAATCTCTCCGAACATTGGCAGTTCGAATGTTTCGCAAAATTTGTGTTTGACCCAATGTATCTGGTTGATGTTGTCCAGATATTCTACTGCCTTGTGTTTAGAAGCCAGTAATTCACTTCGAAAAAGCTTGTAGTCATTTTCGCAGTCGCTACGAGCCGTAGAACAAATTATGCGCCTGTCGTCGATAGAAAGCTTGGCACCAGAACGATTGATGTTATCCATAATATGTCTTAGACAGTAGCGGTGTCCTGCTGAAGGATAAACCTCGGCAACGGCGGACAAGATACCCTTTTGGCGATCCGAAATTATTGTGATTTTGTCCAAACCAGTAGCCGTTTTCACAATTTCCATGAACCAATGCCAATTCTCGTAGTTTTCAGTCCCAACAAGAGCAAGGGCAAACGGAACGACATGGTTCTTGAAGTCCTTCGCCGTAGCCACAAGGAAAACACCTCGTTTGTTCATTTCACCTTTCAGGTGCGCTCCGTCGTACCCAGTTAGTTTCTTGCACATGTTAGCGATATGAATGCCAACACTCGGAACGGAACATGCACGACGAAATGTTAAATTATCCGTTTCATGGTCAATTTTCCAGACGCTGCCTGGATTCTTTTCTGTCATTTTTTTGAAATACGACTCCAATTTCTGATAACTTCCCACTAAATCGCCCCGTAGTCTGTCGTCAATATCCATCTTCATACGTGAAATTCCTGTTTTCCCCAGTTTGTGTCCCTTTGAAATTAGAAATTCCTGAATAGCGGAGCCCGTCAAGGTTGCAGTTGTTCGGTCATGCATAGGAAGCATTTCCGTCATAACCAGTGTTGTAAGTTGCTCAATGTCCTGGGTGGTGTTATGCAAGCTGATTTTCTGAGCAGGAACAGAACCTTCCACAAATGGAACTTGGGTAAAACCAACATGTTTGACGTGGTTATGGGCCAAATTCATCTTTGTCACTTTTCATTTTCCGTTAAATCCAAAAACGTTCACGAAAAATGGGCATTCCAGACTTTCAACTGGAGTGTTTTGGTCAAAAAATTGCGCTCCATGTAGCTTCTTGCATCGGTATTTTGCGTTCCCAGAATTGTTAGGTTTCACACTCGTCTGTTTCACAAATATCTGGAATCCACAGCGAACGGCGAACTCTTTGAAGCTCGATCTGGCTGCCTTCTGAGAGGCGAACTCATGTTTAGCCAAATTTTCTAGACGGTCGTACACCAGACCGTAGTTTTCTGCTACAGAATTCTCAGAGTCCAATACAACGTCACCCCGTAGCAGGCCCAAGTCACGCGCTGCCTGAACATCCGATGCATCAACCACGAAGCGTGCTTGACCGTACTTGGACAACAGTGGAGGTTCGTAGCTTGTGGCCGGAGATGTCATTTCTAATGTGAAGAACGAGGTAAAAGACAAAATAGCTTCGTATGATCAATAAAAAACCAAAGGAGCTGAAGATAAGTAAGAAATAAACTATTAATAGTAATTAATAGTAAATGTTGTTGGAAAAGTGTCTTGTAAATTAAATTATTAGCTGCGAACTTAAGTGTACTGGTTTTTTGTTCAATAACTGTCTGGAAATATGTACTGGATCGGTAGCTATATCCCAGAGTTATTTGTACAGACTGGAAGTAAACAGTACTTTGTACTGTTTTCTGGAATTTCCTCGTTCACCGCACGTGCTAGCATCCGTTCCCCGCACTTCAACGTTCCGTCTGTCGTCCGTCGATCTGAACTAACCGTAATCGCCGTTCTTGGCGACGTCCAACAAACTACAGCATGAAACTTGCTTTAGCTGTAAAACATTCATTGACGCAAATACTGCCTCTCGGATTATACTAATTCTGTGTTTTCTTTTTGCTGTTCACCATGAATTGGCTTTAGAGAAACAGTTTTTATTTTTCCGACAAGATAATTTTACCCTACCCACGACATGACCAAATGAAGCGGGATGAAAAAGTTCTCTGGATATTTATATCCAGAGTCTTAGGTGGGTTCGAGACCCCTCGAAGATCCTATATAAACAAATATTTTTCTGCTTGTGTAATCACTCAAATTTTACTTTCTTACAGAGGGTAAGATTAACCGACGGGATATTTGATGAT